GATTGCGGGCGCAAACCCGAGGCGCAAGTAGATGATGGGTTTAAAAGTTTTAGTTAATTTTTAAAGATCATGGTGAGGGTTATTTCCCAACAAAGGGAAGTTTCCACGAATCAAAAATCCTCTTGCGGTTTCTTTTTGCTCTATGTTTCCACCGCAAAGCTTGTAATAAGAGATAAGCAATTAAAGCGAATGTGAGTGTTATCCATGTTCAAGCCATAGAGGTGGTTATTTGGAAGGAGATGGTACGAAGACGTTGGTGGAGATAATTGAGTTGGATATAAAGTTTAAGATATTAGAGGGAGTGGATGTTTCTGGCCAAAATTGACACAATTTGTTGCTCTATGATAGTACTTTTGTAGGTCTATACATCAAGAATAAGAATAGATAAGAAAAATGAGGAAAATAGAGTTTAGAATTTTTTTTATTTGAAATAAATATAAATATAAATATATATTAATGAAGAATACATCAAAATAGGTTTTATTAGATAACTATTCTAAGATAATATCTTAATCAAGACATGCACAATCAAATGGCGATATACGTGCAATATACGTGTAATATACGTACAATATACGTGTGATCTTGAGAGTTATGGATAATCAACATAAACATCATAATTATCTCTAACATAATAAAATATCCTGTAGAAATCCCTGATTATCTCTAACATCTCTCCTCAAACTCAAGCTGATAAGGAACATAAATCACCGATGTTCGAAGTCGCGGCCAACACCATCACTTCACGGCCTTGAACCCTCTCTCGTTGAACTCCTTGTCCATGTATTTCTTCCCTATCACCATCCGGCAACTCATGTCAGTGATTAGCGACGAAATCTTCCCGCTCAAGTCGATGGCCATGTGGTCGTGATAAGCTTCTTTAAGAAATTTTGGCAATCAAGCCCACCTCCTCTCTTCTCATGGACTTGAAGGAGTTGATTTTGGAATTGCTAAAGAGCTCCAAATTGCACATATTTCAGATGTTCCTCTAATGTGGGTCGTAAGGCATGATCGATAGGTTCCTTTGCTCATAAGAGATGTGCTTTGGGGCCTCATGAGGCAGCTGGCTTGTGAAAAGAAGATCATGGGCCTTGATTCCTCCATCTTGCAATTGGCGTAATATTTATGAACCATTTTATGAACAAAAAGGCGAGCCGTAAGGCCATGGCATTCTTAATGAAGGCCCAACAACAGGAGCATGAGACTGTATGGGTTTTCTTGAGGCGATTTAATGCGATCAATCTCGAGGTTCTAGACCTTGACCTCTCGTTGGCAATCGCAGCCTTCACTCACGGTTCAAAAGGATCCCCTTTAGACTTCTCCCTAGTGAAAAGGAAAACAAAAACCATGTCAAAATTGCTAGAATGCACTCTTGGTAGCGAAGGGGTTCACACGAGGGTAGTGACTATTATAAGATATTCTCACCTGTAGTGATACATAGCTTGATGAGGGTGCTATCAGGTTTGGTTGTGGCAAACATCTTGGAGTTGAAACAACTAGATATCAAAACGGCTTTTTTATAGAGTGAGCTAGAAGAGCATACATACATTCAACAAACGGTGGGTTTTATTGCTTTAGACCATGAAGACAAGGCATGCTTGCTCAAACGATCCCTCTATAGCCTTAAGCAATCTCCTAAGTAATGGTATAAATGGGTTGACTCTTGTATAACTGGTCACCATTTTAGTAAGAATGCACATGATAACTGCAGGATTTATAGGAAGCTAGAAGGTGGTAGTTGCATTTATTTACTATTATATGTTGATGATATATTGATGGTGAAGAGACAATTGAGTGGTGAGCTCAAGACTAAAGACTTCGGTACGGGAAATAGAGCATAAAGATCTAGAGGAATAGGTATCCAAGGGCGCTTCAGCTACCATAGGATAATTGCTTATGTACAGTGCTGAGGTGCTTTAGCATGCCGAATGAGAAAATAGTAAGTATCCTGCTAGCTGTGCGCATAGTAAGGTTTCAGCTGAACTTACACCACAAGCAAATGATGAGAGGGAATAAATGTCTTGTGTTCCCTATGCTAGTGTTCTTGGTTATATTATGTATGCTATGATTTGCATTAGGCCGGATATTCCTCATGTTAGTGTAGTGAGCCTATACTAGGAAGAGACTTGTAAGTTAATTTTTTTTCTTTTTTTCTGCAAAATTATGTTTTGATAGGTAGGGATTATTTTGCTTAGAAACATTTATCGAAAATTTATATTGTGACTCCGATCCGTCAATTTGAATTGTCACTTAGAAGTAGCACCGGGATGTGCATATTTACATTTCGGCTTTGGGGTCGACTTTGAGAAACATATAAAATGTATATATTAATTATTGGAATATTGTTCGCTACCAAAGTATTTCTTGCATCCATGCTATTCGATATGTCTTTGCAATGAGACTGACCCCTGTTAAATTATGACTCGAGTTTAAATCGTTTACGGAACGTGACTCTCGCTTGGATAAGTTTTCGTATTTGGCCGTGAAGATCTGTACCCTGGAGATAATATTCAAGATTTATTATTGCCCACAAAAGATCATCTCTCGGACGTACAGTGGACATCTTTGTCCTGTAGTTGGGGGGTCAACAAAAGGAGTTAATCCTGTGACACCTTGAAAGCTGCAGAGAAAAGCTTGTGAGCCCAGGGGTAATAAAAGGAAAGAAAATAAAGGGGCTAGGTGTTGCTTCCTGTGACACTCGCATAAAAGGAAAGAAGATTTCTTTTCTGTGGTTTTAAGCCGCCGCACAATTCGAGAGCCGCACGAAGCCGCACAGTGCTGATGACGAGCCGCGCAAAGAAGAAAAGAAAAGAAAGTCGCGAGGCCCGTTCTTGTTCCGAGCCGTACATGAGCGTTTTGGGCTTGAACACGCGGTGATTTATGCAGTGAATTTATTTCGTCTAATTAGGTTATTTATTCATAAATATTTTATGTTTGGGCTTAAATTTAGGTGTAGAAAACACTCGAGCATATAAGCGAATTGTAACTCTGATTTTCCAATTATAGTGGATTATTTATTATTGGCTTTCCCCATGGATATAGGTACCGATATTCGAACCGAACCACATAAATATCTGGTGTCCTTTATCGTTTCTCGTTTATTTCTCTGGTATTTTCGTATTGACTTAATTTGTAAAATCCTGTTGTTTCCGCATTATATATCAACAACCCCCTTATACTTTTTTGTAAATCTTGAGTAATTTGGAATTTGTAGAGTTACATATATCAGAATGCAGAACGAAACTGTATTTCTCTCGGAGACATCCGATACAGAGAATTAGATGGCCCCTAAGCAAGGATGGCACACACACGTAGAGAAATGATCCAAATTTTTTTCAGGCCCTTTACTTAGACGAGACCGCTGATAATGAGAAACTTTTGGTGGTTGAATTTTAGGTTTGCGTTGGAGATGTATTCATATGTTTTGTTAGATTATAGAAACTCCGATATGTGTTTTGACTTTGAAGAGAATGACGGTCTTATCATTAGCCCTATTCCTCTAGGATTTAGGGTGTGACATAAAATTTTTGGAGATATTATATATGTGTGTATAGCTGGTTGATTTTCGAGTAATATGACGTTATGTAATGCTCGGTTAGGACTTTTAGGCACCACCAGGATTGTGATTTTCTAGGAAAACAAGCTAACCAAAATCTTTGTCGGCTGCCCTTTAGCATAAGATCAACTTTATGACAAATAATTTATCTGAAAAGAGAAGTAATACTAAATAAATAAATAAAAAGCCAGCTAGAAAGACAAGATGAGTGGTAACATCTTTGGTATGAAACCAATTCGAGAAAAGTAAATAGATCAAGAATGGGGTTGCGTGGACAAAATCGTTGAAAAAGGACAAAAAACACAGCTTTTATCAGACCTTTTCACACGATGTCGATATTTGTTTATATGATTCTATCAGAATGGAGGAGGATTTGAGTTTTCCTGGCCTATAACATCCGTGGCAAAGTCAAATTTGCTCAGCAAAGTCTCACACGTTTGTGCGGTTTGGTGTGCCCTGGACAAACATGGAGGCTTATGTTGAACCTACACTCAAACTTTGGTCTCTTATTATTATTATTTTTTATTAATCCCAAGATCCTGTTGACTTCTATTTGTTTTTGGTCAGACTGTTGATTTCGTGACGTGGTGCATGACGAATTCGCCCGTTGTGGATTTCCCTTTGAAAGTACGAAGGCAAAATATGAACAGACAGCAAAAATGCATTAGAAAAAAGATATGACTTTTAAAGAACCACGTGCTACATTCAATTCTCTATATTTGTCTTTGTGTAGAACTGAGTGAATTTGATTATAATTCTCTAAACTTGTCTAGGTAGGCTCTGATAGACTTACTTTTCACCATCCGGAACGCCTAGATACTTCATTTGAGAAACAAACGATTGCTCGAGCTCTTTGTCATGTAGAGGGTCTCCAGCATAAATGTTTCTATGATGGCTCTTTTGTGTAATAATTGGAAATAGATTGAGAATGAGTTTAAGACGCAAAAAGGAAAAGACCGGGACCTCACGCATATGCTTGCCTTGGCAGGTTCACGGCCTGGCCATGCAGCTCAGGGGCTCGACACACTGCAAAAATCAAGAGGCTTTCTCTTGCAGTGGCCGAAAGCCCAACTGGCAACCTGCTGGCTGTTAGGATTAAATGCACAAACACAATGATATAGAGAGTATATGCGAGAAAGAGAAATCGAGACATAAGATTTCTCGAGTGGGACCCCTGTGCCTTCCCATTGATGGAGTGTATGAATCATAACCCAATAGAGGCCAAGGCACGAATCCCATACCACCTTGTGCCCAGATGTTTTGTACATAGGCATCTAGGAATGATCCCCCGGAACCCCATAAATGTACATATACCTATTTTGACGTTTTTGCTTCAATTCGACCTTCGATTCAAATTGGCTCCTTCTCCGATTTAGCTGAATCTCATAGACATCAAACACAGCACAATGCTCTAAACTATAGTGAAGCAATTAAGAAGTCTCTAGTCTCCACACGACTCAAAAATCTTTATTGAATTTCATTACAAATTACAAATTAGTAGGCAATCCATTTGGTATAAAAACTAACACCATGAAACTTCCTGATAAGATCATATTTATTTTTGGAAACTAAATCGTCCATTGAAAAGTCAACTATCTTTTACTCACTCAAACGGTACCTAGGCGTGACCACCAGATGCTTGGCTTTAGGAGTAGTGAGCCCGAACTCCTCGGTCATGTCTAGCTCACTCGGTGACATGCCACCAGGAAGCTCCCAGTCAAAGCAGTGCACGAGCTGAGTAATTATGAACCGCACCACGGTCAAGCCGAGCTGCATCCCAGGGCACCCTCGGCGGCCCGCTCCGAATGGCAGGAGCTGAAAGTCACGCCCCTTAACATCCATGCTCGACCTTAAGAATCTTTCAGGCACAAACTCTTCCGGGTCATGAGTACCCCACACTTTCGGGTCCCTTCCGATGGACCACACATTCACGATGACCCTCGACTTGTAGGGTATGTGGAAGCCGCTCACCGTGCAGTCCTCGGTCGACTCGTGGGGAAGCAAAAGCGGAGCCACCGGGTGGAGCCTCATGGCCTCCTTGATGACCATGTCTAAATAATCCAAGCCATCTGTGTCTGATTCCTCCACTGCTCTATTCAGTCCCACGGCTTTCTCTAGTTCTTCTTGGAGCTTTTTCATTGCACTAGGATGTTTGATAAGTTCGGCCATTGCCCACTCTATTGTTGTTGCTGAAGTGTCCATTGAAGCCACCAACATGTCCTTCACGGAGAAACATATCGACATTCATACGAACGAGTATATCAATTGTACTTATCAAGCATATTTACAATAGAGAAAGTTATGCATGTTACGAGAAAAATCCATGCAGTAAAAATACAAACTTTATATCATTAATTACTCAACAAGCGTATGGAGCACCTTTTTAACAAAATTAACATGTTAATTGACTCCATAGGAGAAACTACTTATGAGATTTCCCCTAAGTATGATCTCTAGTAAGAATAATACTTCATAAAAAGATAAAGAACTATTTTTCTTCATGAAATATTTGGTATGGCTAGCTAATCCTTTCATACATGGATTAACTTATTTAAACCCTATTTGAAATATGGACCATGAATATATCGTTGTCTCTAGCTCTCACTGTGTCGTAGTTTACAAAACAATGTTAACCGCTCAACCTTCGGTGCTCGAAAGAGACAACAAGCACATGCACTTGAAGAAAGAGACAATAATTTCTCTCAGTCGTGATCCTTAACTTCTACTTCTCGTATATGACGCACTTGGTTGATCGGTAGATAGATAACCCAGAGAGACTTACAAAATTCCTGAACACCGTCCGTTCACATCAATATATGAAGAAGCTAACAAGACTATCTGCTGTAACCATATTTATAGACAAAATGATATTGCTTAAGAATTGCCATTAAAACTGGCAAATCTTTGATAGAAGAGAGGATGGGAGGACGGCATCGATTCAACATGCTTAATCAAATACAGACAAATTCTACCAGGATATAATAGTAGAAATATTAAAATTAGTCTACAAAATCAATTTACAAAGTGCAATCACAGATTTTGTTCGATGTTTCTATATGGGGATCCATACGCTCAAATATCCGCTTATGAATTATGGAACTGTCTTCTAAATCAATTTTGAACCCTAACTATGCTCATCTGAGAACCTCAACTAGCGAGATCCTTGGTCTAATCAATTTTCCACTCCAACGTACACTTAGATAATTGAGCAATAATTAAGTTTACGGGCATTATTTGTTAATCTAGAGACAAAAAATTGATTAATTACCAGAATTATGGCTTTGATATGGGGCCTGTCGATATGATACTCTCCCTCGTTCAATCCCATGATACCCAACATGACATCAACAAAATCTTTGGTCTCTCCTTCCTCTTTCTTGCACTCCATGTGCTCGTCAATAATCTTCTCGAAGAAAGCATCGAATACTCTACTCACAGCTTTCATGCGCTTCGTCAACCCCTGAAGATCAAATGGTGCCAAATAAGGAATATACTCACCGATGTTCGGCGTGGCGGCCAACACCAACCCTTCTTGAATCACGGCCTTGAACCCTCTCTCATCAAACTCCTTGTCCATATACTTCTTCCCAAACACCATCCGGCAACTCATGTCGGCGCTTAGCGATGAGATCTTGGCGCTCAAGTCGATGGCCGTGCGGTTATGAGATGCATCTTTGAGAAAATTCACAAATAAGCCGACCTCCTCTTTTCTCATGGACTTGAAGGAGTTGATTTTGGCATTGCTGAGGAGCTCCAAAGTGCACATCTTTCGGATGTTCCTCCAATATGGGCCGTACGGCGCGAACGTCAAGTTCCTTTGCTCGTAAGAGATGTGTTTTGCGGCCTCAATCGACGGCCGGCTCGCAAAAACAAGATCATGGGTTTTGAGGAATTGCTCAGCCACTTCAGGTGATGAGACGACCATCGTGGGCACGGACCCAAGGCGCAAGTGCATGAGGGGTCCATATTTTTTAGCTAGTTTGTGGAGATTATGGTGAGGGTTTTTTCCTAACAAATGGAGGTTTCCAAGAATCGGAAATCCTCTTGGACCAGGAGGCAATCTCTTGTTGCTTTGTGTCCACAGCAAAGCTCGCAATAAGAGATGAGCAATCAAAGCGAAGGCGAGTGTTATCCAGATCCAAGCCATTGAGTTGGTTATTTCGAAGGAAGTGGGGGGTGAAGATGATAGGTGGGGATCATTTCGGTGCATATATATATAAAAGATATGACAGGGAGATGGCTGTTTCTAGCTTCAAATGTGTGAAATTTATTACTCTTTGTTTTTTGTGGACCCGTTCATCTAGAATTCAGAAGACTACAGATTAATTAAGAAATAGTGAAAAAAGAAAACATCTATTCTCACGACGCGGATTGAATTTGTCAATCATATGATTGAGATAAGCGCTTTCAAAGTTTTTTTCTCAAACGAGAATGACGTGAAGGATGGAAAAAGCCAGTCATTGCGAAATGGGGAAAAAAAAAAAACACAAGGAAGTGATGGGTAGGGGATTTTTTTTTTTATGGTTATGGATTTTGGGAAACTTTTAGCGATATGCGATTAAAATATATTTGTTTAATTTGCTCATATGAGCGAACAGACATGCGATCTTGTTGGTAAAGCGATTGGGCTTTAGGACTGGAGAGTACCAAGTCCGGGATTCGATCTTTATAAGTACCGCATACACATGTACATAGAAGAGATGAGTGAGATAAAAAAAGATATATGCTCGAATGTATGTAAACCTCCCAATTCACATGTATGAGGTAATAAATATTACCCAAGGGGTGATTGGCATAACCTTAAGGTTACACTATATAAATAAGGATTAATACCACGAAAAACCCTAAACTGGTACACCTATAATAAATTTATCCCAAACTAATTTTTTGAACACAAAAAACTCAAATTGGTACATCTGTGACAATTTTACCCCAAGTTAGTTTTCGTTAAATTTTACTATCAAATTTCTGAGTTGTATGACACGTGACAATTGACGGGTGTACCAGTTTGGGGTTTTACCCTCCGTTTGTTACAAGTGTACCAATTTTTGATTTTTCATGGTATTCACAGATGTACCAGTTTGGGATAAATTTATCACAGGTATACTGGTTTGGGGTTTTTCGTAGTAAAAAAATTAGTTTGGGGTAAATTTGTCACAAATGTACTAATTTAGGTTTTTTCGTGGTATTAACCCTAGAGATAAAACTATTATTTGAACACGAGATCCACTCTATCGTTTCGAACCTAGAGATGGTTCACTTAACCGGCCCACATGTATTTTATTTAACAATGCTAATATAAATCTGAAAATACATAACAATAAATACAATCATACAGATTCATTTATATGCGGCTATGGAAACAAAAGACAATATAGAGACGGGAAAGAAGTAAAAAAAGATAAAGGAAATTAAATTTATTTTAGTGTGCAAGTTGAATTCATGGATTGAGGTGAAGGAAAATAAATTTCTATGAATAGATTTAGTAATCTTTCTTTTACATATACACACTGATGCGGGAGCATCGGGCTCTATTCATCAGCTCTCAAGCTCAACTCATATTCCGTTGATTGAACCAACTCAATTGCCATTCGTGCAAGAAAAAGCCAATTTTGACTGCAATTTAATTATGTGGGTTCAAGGATGAAGTTACCAATTACACGGTATAGTTGTCGATTTACAAGACTTGGCTTCCAATTGACTATCTAGAAACTAGAGGTTGTTATGATCAAATTCCTTTGTTGTTTGTTCATTTTCTAAGGTGGCTATCTGACTTTCTAGGCTGGTGCACAAATTTGGAGAGTCTTATCAAGTTTCAATGCATCTTATATCAATTAAATTTATTTAGTCCTAGTTATAAAGTTTCTTAATTCATAGAAGATTGATCAAGAGTTTATAATTCCAAATTTCGAAAGAGCTTTACATACTTTAAAATTGTCTTTTGTGAACTTTAATAGAATTACTCGTCTCACTATCTCAGAGTCACTTTTTCTACACCTATTAAAGATTACACTTTTGAAGCTCACTAAGACAAGTGTGTAAGGTAGAAGCTCTCTTGGACTTTGGAATTTTAGATTCACGATCTCATTCATTATCTTCAGTATTTGAATCTTCTTATATACTCCTCCACTTCCAATCTAACCATTGTACAGTCTTCAGAGGATCATTCTCCAATCAATTTGTTGGATACGAATGCTACAAGAAGATTGAGTAGCCGTTAAGTGACAAAATCATAATCTCCCATTGATTCAGTCGCCAATACAACCAAAGATGGGTTTCCGTAAGTAGCGTTCTTCATTTGGAAAGAATATCCCATCTAAAGGAAGATTGTCGATCAATCAAAGATGTTTTGTTTTGAGTAAGTTTGTTGCAAAACAATCTTTTAGATTGAAGATCAATCATCATATTCTATGGTAAAAATCCGAGCAAGATCACTAGCCATTGCAATATATAATTTGTATTCTAAGTTTGATTATACTTCTAGATCAGACGATATTGTTTGAGTCTGAATACTTCCTGAGTATGAATGAACTTCGCATAGAGTCTAAAGATGCCAAATGTCTTGGCAATATTCATGTCCAAGTTTTGGTGATGTCTTCATGTTGCTCTAATGATATCCATAATAGTTTTTTATCTCCACAAAGAAAATGAGAAACTTCAGACATAATTTTCAGATAACAATAACTAGAGTCTGAATATCGTTTCTTCGTCACCTGAAAATACTTTCGTCAAACTCAATAAATACTATGGAAGGTTTTGTCGATCTTCAAAATATATTAGGAAGTTTTCTTGACAAATCACACATAGAGTAAAACATAAACTAAGCAAATAATCAATCAACCAAGTTCAAGAGTAATAAGTAGATCATTCTAGCTTAGTCCATAGAGTTTTCACTTACCTCGAGTGAAATCTTTAACAAAGCAAACCTTTAATCACCTTAAAATCAAAATAAATATCAGATTTAACAAGTATCATTCTTCAGAAAACAACAGAGCTAATTTGATAAAAAGAAAGGAAAGTCTATGAATATACCTTGTAAGACACTAGATTGAAAGTGAGTTTGGACTTTGATTGTGTTGAAAGAGAGTGGAATAGAAAAACTTTTGAACTTCAAGCTGTGAAGAAGATGGAGTTACACGCCCAAAGGAAGGGAAAAGGTATTTAATCTCTTGTCTTCTACATTTATTCTATATTGAAGAGTAGTTTGAAGTCACATTTCTTAGCTTGGGTTAAAAATAATAGGGTTAATACCATGAAAAACCTTAAACTGGTATACTTATGACAATTTTACCCCAAACTATTTTTCTGACTACAAAAAACCTCAAACTGGTACACTTATGACAAATTTGCCCCAAACTAATATTTTGACCACTAAAAACCCCAAACTGGTGTTTGTGACAAATTTACCCTCCGTTAATTTCCGTTAAATTAGATTTATACCATAAAAAATCACAAATTGGTACACTTGTGACAAATAGAGGGTAAAACATAAAATTGGCAAATCAAACAACTGTCGTGTGTCATTTAACAAAGTAATTTGAAAGTAAAATTTAACGGAAACAAACTGAGGGTAAATTTATCATAGGTGTACCAATTTGGGGTTTTTTGCGGTCAAAAAATTAGTTTGGAGTAAAATTGTCACATGTGTACCGGTTTGGGGTTTTTTGTGGTATTAACCCAAAATAATAATGTCAATCAACTAGAGTTAATAGTAGATATAAAGTTAGTAGCAAATCATTGGACTCTTAGGCTTAGAAGCTTTATGATATTCTTCTCCTATTACTTTCTTGAAAAACAAAAAATATTTCTTACTAATGGTGTACATATTTTGTGTAATAGTGGAAAACAAGTTAATAACAAGTTTAAGATGCGAAACATGGAAAGATCGCAATGCCATTCATCTGCTCGCCTAGCCATGTCTAAGGTCCAGCCATGCAGGTTGAGGTGGTTAATAAGGATCACCTAAAGGGGGGTGAATAGGTGATTATGACCAATTTTAAATTAATTAAAGCGGAATTGAAACAATCAAAATAGGTACTGTCAATTTCAAGTGAGATAACAGTCTGAACAACAATCAGATGCAGAATATCGATATGCAAAGATAAACGATAAGAGTTTAGAGATAAGAGAATTTACACACAAATATATAGTGGTTTGGTTTATAGTAAGCCTATGCTCACTCTCGACGTAGACAGCTTGTTGGCTGGATTTCACTAATGAATCAATCAGAGGTTACAGATGAGGATGTCAACTCTTAATTAGTATCTCAGAGTCACTCCCTTTTACAGAATCAGAGTGACTCCTCTTTAAAACTTCTTTAGCGATTACAAAGTTCCAGCTTAAGAAAGACAAGTGTGTATGATTGAAGCTCTCAATACTTTAGGATTTTAGATTCAAAATATCGCATCTTTCTTTAGCACTAGGATCTCCTTTTATGCTCCTCCACTTCCAATCTAGCCATTGGACAGTCTTCAGAGGTTCATTCTCCAATGATTCTATTGGATAAGAATGCTTAATGAAGATTCGGTAGTTGTTGGATAATGCAATCAAAGTCTCTCAGATGATTCAGTTGCCAACACAATCAAATCGGAGTTTCCATAAGCGGAGTTCTTCGTATAGAAAGAGTATCATGTTGTGATTGAATACAACCCATTTCTAATGTTTTGCTTTGATTTTGATCGTTGCAAAACAATCTCAAAAAATCAAAGATCAGTAATTTCCAATAAAGAAATCCAAGCTAGATCACTAGCTGTTGTATTGTCTATATATCGTTGAGTTTGACAAAGTCTGGAATCTCGAAGTCTGATTCTGAGTTCTTTCTTAAGTCCGGATATGTAAAGTCTGAATATCATAAAAAGCCTCAATAATATCAAGCGCTGCCTTTGACTGATTCTTCATATTGCTTTAAGAATATTCTTGACATATATTGATGATGTCCGCGAATACTTTGAACCATGAATAAGATACTCAAAATCTAAACATTGTATTTCAATGAATATCACCTCAAATTGTTTAAGTCAGATTCAATAAAAACTTATGAAATGTTTTGTCAAAATAACTTAGGAGGTTTTCTCAACACAGGTCAGGTGCTCGGCACCCTGTAGTAGTGAAGAGGCTTTCTCATATTGTGGCCGGAAGCCCTACTTGGTGGCTAGGGCGTCGAACCCTATT